GGGTCTAGACCCGAAACGTCAGCTTTCCTACTCCTCTGATGCTGCTTGGCCTGCTGTGTTCATCTAGCTCTACACCTTGTTATCTCGTATTTTCTGTTTCTTTTCTAATGAGAACATATTCAATTTATTCAAGGTATCTATGGTGGCACAGCAATGTATCTTTATACCTTTGTGTTTTATTCGTGAATCTGCTTTTAATCCCTGAAACATATTATCTGTAGTGCAGTAGTGAACAAGTCTTGGCATTGAAATTTAGAAACTTTCTTCTGAGACTCAATAATGGTGAGAAAATGAATCTTTATTCACTGCCTGTCCAATATCAAATATGTCTCAATTCTTGAGGACCAGCAGAAATACTTAGAAACAGGGAAAACTGACTAGTTGGCTGGTCATGAGGCTATTTGATCCCTAGAGCTCTAGTATTAGATTTTGCTTGTAGCAACATGACCGAAAGCTTATTTGTAGCAATGGAGACAAAACATGTATGTACCCCAGCTACTCAGCAATAGCAATTCATTCCTTGGAGTCTGAGTGGAGAAATGGTATTCACATCTTTGGGAAAGTATTTCTGATGATGGCAGTACTGGGAGATTGTCTACATGTTCTGATAATTTGGATTCACTCTACCCATTCTCTGTTACTCTGGGAGAGGACTTTCCTTCTCAATTCTCCAAAGCTTAACTACTCATTATGTTTACCTGATGCACCATACACAACTTTCCATAACTTTCCAGGTTTTCCCCAAACCTAATACCCAAATCCCTATATGGGGAGATACTTCTCACACATCCCTGGAGGGAGGACACATGATTTTGCACTGGATCTCGTATCAACTGAAAGGTCAAACTCATTGTATTGTTTAAACTGTGCAATCTAGATGTTGCCACATATGGTTTGAAGATTTAGTTTGTTCACCAACCTTGGGATGTTACTAAGAGCAAAGTCTGTTTTCATATTTCCCAATTTGAAGCTAAACTATGGTGAAATTTTGGAATGTACACAAGCCTGTACTAATGTGTGAAATATCAGTTTGTGTAAACTCTAGAATAGTGGCATGATATTGTTATGCAAACAGAATGGAGAGTGGGTTCCTGGGATATTTCGACTTGGAGAATTCTGAATTTTAGGGGTAGAATAAAATAAAGTACTTGAAGATGATCAGAGAATAAAAGTAAGAGAGGGAGAGAACATCAGTAAGCAATTATAAAATAACATCGGCAATACTCTGGAAACTGATTCTGCATGTTTTGAGAATGGCTCTCAATGGCATCAGCTACTATAAGGTAGAAAGACAGAAACCATCTGCCATTGCATGTAAGGAATGATAAATGCACATTTTCAAAAATATTCCCATGCCTTAGAGTAAGTGTCAAAGTGTAGTTTCAGACAGGTAAACATTTTCGCTTCATCTAGTCCACAACTCCACGGTATTCTTTTGGTACATTACTAATAACTCAAGTTCCAATTATTGACAAGACCTATCTGGTTCATTCTTCAAACCTACTTAATGTTCCTTTCTACACAATCTGTGCTGGTAACCTGATTGAGCACGATATAAATAAATGTGTAACTGTATACCATTGGTGTTACGCTGTACCAACTATCCTCTCCCTGATATATTCCCCATTTACATTGTTTTTGGTGAGGTATATTGCTTAAACAAACTTTAAAGATCACATCAAACCCTGATAATTAAAAGAAACATTTGGTTAAACATATATGAGACCCAATTACAGAGATTATAACATACTTAAGGGAAGATAATAATCTCACAATCAACAACTTAACAAACTGGGGAACTACGTTATCTCATACATATGGAGAAGATTATAGGTTATGTTTAGAGCAAATAATACTTTAAATGATTTTTAATTATATCTTTCAATTGCACAAATACTTCATAAAGTTTTCTTTCAATTCTATTCGTAAATAAAACCTAAGTCAAATAAAACTGAAGAGGCTCTATTCAGCCTAATTAGGAAATAAAAACCATAAAAATAACAGGTAAGGAATATTAGACAAATGAAAAATAAAATAATTTTATTTTTGATAACTCAAATTCAGTACCAAACCCTCTCCCAAGTCAGATTTTTCACAATTAGATTTCAAGTATGCATCTGAGTGAGACTGTCAAATTAAAATCAAATCTGGAAAATCATTAATATCCGAACCTCATTTTACCGAGTGCTAATGGTACAATGCTTGCCAATAGTCTGGACTGAATTCAAACACAAGACATAAGTGAGTCATCCAAATTCTGTTGGCTCTGTTTTCTTCCTCATGCATTTTTAAAAATAAAATGGAGCACCTTATAAATCTTTCACATTAGTTTAAATTAAGTAGTAATGCATAAATGCCTTTTCACATTTCATAGAATCTCTTTTAAATTACTTGAATTGAGATTATAGGTGAGGAAGCAGTCAAGGTGCTAACAAATGGCCTCTATGCCCCTGAGTTAGGCAATGGGTTTATACAATCAGGCTGCTCTCCTAATCACTTCCTGGAATTTGATCATGGGTGAGGATAGCTCTAAACTAAAATGGTTTTCCAAAACTCAGGTTTAAGTTTTCTAACACCCTTTTTCTTTGATTGTGTAAATCTCCAGCAAGTGCAACTTTTACCTTACTTCTATTTATAGGCCCCAGGAGATTTAAGTATGGGAAGTAAGCTAATGGCCCTGATTTTAGTGCTAGGGAGCTTTCTGCAGATTAGCAGCAGTGAGAGTTCGAAACATCATCTATTGCTCTAAATTAGAGTTCCAAAATATCTTAATTGCTGGGCCCCAGTTGAATTGAAAATAATCTTTGTCTACAGATACCATCCACCAACAGTTAACAAGTTGATCTGCTGGCATTCTAGCTCACCTCTGGGTATGATGTTAGGGAGGAGATGTGTTCCCGATGGGGATGCTTATCTTTCTTTATAGTCTGCTAGTCCCACAAATCAAAGCAAAATTGTTCTTGCAGGCCCATATTGGCTCGGTCATTTAGATCCTGCCGGGTTGACCTGGCAGGAAACAGACTGGCACTTACTGTCCAGGCCACATAGTGAAAATCACAGTTGGGTGCCACTGATGTTAAAGGGAAGATCAACAATTTTGGCTGGGTGCCCTGGCAGCCTGCTCAGGAAAACAGAGAAAAATCAGAACCTGCCAGTTCCAGGCTAGGTGAATAACGCTGTGAATTGACACTGAATCATTAAGGTTAAAATCATCCCCATTCTGCTCAGAGAGAGAAGTTGCAAAGGAAGTTTAAAATAAAAGGAATAAAAGCCTATTAGCAAATTATACTTGGGTTTGCATAAAATTCGTGATTAAATAAAATGTACATCAACAGGGTTCAATCTAATGTGACTGTGAGCACTAGTGTTATTGACAAAAAAGAAAACAGTCACCATATCTTGAAACTGCTGCCTTAAATGTTACATGGCATTGTTTCAGTTAGTCATCCTGTCACGTTGTGAGTCTAATTGTCACTTGTTAAACAATGATCTCTCTGCCTTTGTTCTGAATACATTGTGACTTTGTGTTCTAACGGGTGAACAATCTTAATCAGGGTCATTAGTGTTTGTTAGGTTTTCAGAAAGATTAATGCTAATGCCTCTGCTGTATCTTTGGCATTTGACTAGATCACTTTTAAATTTTCACATTATTCTGGTATCACTCTAATGCAAGTTTCAAGTAGTTTAAATCACCTCTGTCAGATTGAGATTTTGAATACGGAAGATTTTTCACTTTTCAAACACAACCTTTATTACTGAACCAATTTTGTCTTTTCCAAATATTGCTTCTCCATAAAATACATTAATGGAATGCTTCAAGCCACTTCACTATTTGCTCAAGAAAATATGATTCATCTATTTAGTTCTCAAGTATTAATGAGCAAAATGGAGTCAGCAATGGAATATGCAATACATTTTTCCAGTTTGTTTATCTCAAATCCTCCAAAATCAGGTCTCATGCAGCCAGCTGTAGAACGAAGCTTCCTGTATTCTGCTCCAACTATGTGTCAAGCATAAACCTCTGCTGCAGTCCAAAGGTTTGTTTTTATTTCTGCCACCTGAATTTTCATGGGCCATTCTCAATAAAAGGCAGTTTCCTTCTGCCTAAAATATTTCAGTCAGGGCCCTTCTACCATCACACACGGGTGTTTTCACTGCTGAAGTCGAAGCATAATGCAAATCTCAGGTCACTGTGTGAAATGGTAGTATGTTAACCCACAATGCACACAGGGTTAGTTTTCTTTTAGTTTTGTTTTTAACATGTTAGAAGCTTTATACCAATTACTTTAAGCAATAATTATAGCGTCAATTGTATCACAAAACATATGTAAAATGGCTGAACACAAGGATTAATTCATGATAGAAATTAAACACTAATGAGACACAGATAAAAACAACTTCCAGGACTAGTTACGCTGCCAACAGTTGGATTTAATACCTCTGCCTCCCTCAATAGAAATAGGATTTATCCCTCAAAATGAATCTTAAACTGTATGAAATAATAATCAGATCACTGCGTATCTCAGAATTAAATGCAGCTTTTGAAGTTTAAATATACTGATGATTTCCATACTATACATCATGCTTAAACATGACACATTACCACCTGAAATGTTTGTGCAGTCTATAGTGTGTATTATTATATCAAAAGGTAAAGTTTGTTTGATTTCAATGATAACCTCCTCACCAGTATTTGATTGCCATTTCCCAGTGTAATTGTTGAAATCACATAGAAACAATATCTTTTAGACAAACCACAAAATATGCATGGAAGGTGAAAAATTTCAACAAAACTGACGGCAATAAGGACAAGCATCATGATAACTGCTTTCCAAAATAGCCTGAGGTTACTTTCTCTGCACTAAATCAGGATAGGGAACTCAATTTTCATTAAAAAATAATATCAATTGACATCACAGTAAATATAGAAAACATGTTGGGTACAGACTTTAGAAGCCTGATGATTACATCTAAAACTACAAAGTAAATATCTGTGGTGTCAGTGTATGCATTATAGTGTCTGCAAATGGGGTCATGTTATGCCCTCTTCTACACTGGCTCTAGGTTGAGCAATATCTGGATTTTACAAGTTTCATGGGATGAGAGAGTTGGATGGCAAGTCATGGGGGATTTGAAAACAAGGATGAAAATTGTAAAATCCAGATATTGCTCAACCTAGAGCCAATAGAGAAGACAGCATAACATGACCCCATTTGCAGACACAATAAACAAACTCTAATCTCCTGCAGCCCCAACTTCCCTCCAAAATAACTGCACTCCTCTAATTCAGTCTTCTCCATTCTTGATAATGTAATTGCTACACAATGGTTGGCTGTGCCTTCATTTGCCTAGGCCCCAAGCTCTGGAATATCCTACCACCATCTCTCCACTTCATGTTCCTCTTTTAAGACACTACATAAAAACCATTCTTGACCAAGCTTTTGTTCATCTGAGCTAATAGCCCAGTATTTCTGATCTCCAGATCATTGGAAACCAGTCACGTGACCCACGATACACACTAGCACCCCACAAAAGTGCCAATATGCTGACCTCTCTGCGAATTTCCTGGGAAGGTTGACTTGTGACCAGCAAATGTCATGTTTCCTGAAACCCACTGCAAAAGTCTCCTGCTCTGAGCTAGAGTTGGAATGTTCCACAGTTCTCATATCATAGAATCCCTACAGTGTGGAAACAGGCCCTTCGGTCCAACAAGTCCACGCCGAACTTCAGAGCATCCCACCCAGACCCATCCCCCTATAAACCCACCAAATCTGCAAATCTCTGAACACTATGGGCAATTTAGAATGGCCAATCCACTTACTCTGCACATCTTTGGATTGAGGGAGGAAACCGGAGCACCCAGAGGAAACCCACGTAGACACGGGGAGAATGTGCAAACTCCACACAGACAGTCGTCCAAGGGTGGAATCGAGCCCAGATCCCTGGTGCTGTGAGGAAGCAGTGCTAACCACTGAGCCACCGTGCTGCCCCTAAAAAGTTATCCAGGAAATGTTAGTCCACTTAAAACCTAGGCTTACTCCTAGGTAACTACAGAATTGACTACCTCCCAACCCAACCCGAATACCCCTACCTGACAATGTTAATATCCAACCAACCCATGTCCAGACCTGACTTCAACATCTAACTACCTTCCTTGACCAGATCCAACTAACCCCACCAATCACCCTCACCACTAGGCTGAACCAAACTGACCAGCGGATGAACCCCTTTCCCACCCCCTCCCAACCAGATTACCTCCCCCTATCTGATCACCATTCCCAACGCTTCCAGCTACCCAACTCACTCACTCACCCATTAACCAACATTCACACTGGACCTTTAAACTTTCCTTCACAGCAGCTGGTGCTGTGTAAAGGGCAGGAGTGGGGTTTGTTGGGAGAGTTGCCTCATCTCGCCTCTAGTGCTACAGAACTGCTATGGAACTCGTTGATGGACATTGCATTGCACATTCCTGGAGAAGCTGGGCTCAGATGCAAAAGTCAGAGCAGCATCAGGGTGGGGAGAAATTCAAGTTGAAAGGCAGTTTGAGGGTGATTGCTATTCCACCAATATTCGAATTGATATTTCTCTACATGGTTCGATGGCAGGTTTTGTTACATAATGCTTCTGTGAATCATCTTCAGTCATTTTATTAGATTAGCAAGGCAGTACAAATATCAGCTGTTTCTGCTGTTGAAATTAAAGCTAATATTACAAAAAGTCTTAATTATACATTTGTGTATGTGACAACTGAATGGACCTTTTTGAGTGAATTTCAATCATCAGGTTTGGTAAAATATTTCGGGACGTGATTGCTGTGTAAGGTTAAAAGAAATTTATTGTACTAAATAGTCATAATAAGTCACACACACAGCAAATATAATTCTTAGAAATGCATTTTGCTGTGTGATGTTTCATCCACTTAGTCAGTATAAGAAATCCACGCTGATTTTTCAAGTTGACCCTTTACAGTGGGCCCACCCTTTGGCAGTGTGATGTATGAATTTGTGGGGAAGACTGCTCCCTTCCTGATTCTGTCAGTGCTGGCACTTCTGGATGGAGGTAAGTAAAGGAAAAGATGATTATTGTGAGGCATCTAAAATCAATTTAAGCAGAATAACAACTCTTGCCTGCTTTAGCCCTACAGCTGTTTATCCTCCAGCCATCCAAAGCTCAACCAGAAGTAAGTATGATGTTCAGATTATTACAAAATGACAAAACACACTTGTTTAAAGTCATATTAGCACAGACTTTTAGAATATTAATACTTTTCTTGACTCACCCACTATTATATTTACTTTCTTTTGTGACTTTTTTTAAATCTTTTCTAGAGTCATAAGGGGAGCTCACTGTTTGCACTTTTACGTGATCCTTATATATTGATTGCTGCAGGTACTTCACTGATTTTAAGGTTTTCATGTATTTTACATTACTTAATCCATATTTATGTCGAATTTCCAGAATAAAGATAAATATACAACAGTAATACTACCTTGCATTTATTTTGTGAATTTACTATCTTAGTTATGCCCACAATGTTTTACATGTTGGACAAAGAAAAATGGATACTAAATGGGAAGAAGGAATCAATAAATAGATTTATGGAGATGAGCTGAAAAAAAGAGTCGAAAAGTCTTGCACAACTGGTTGAGACCAGGAAATAGAGGAGGTTAGGCCATGAGATTTTCAGAAGGTTGAAGCAAAATAGTTAAAAAAGCCTTCAGTAATGATGGAGCAAAAGGGACAAGGGGCATGATTTGCCTTCCCCAAATTTGGTGGGAGTTGTGGGCATTTGATCAGGTAAAAGGCTGGTAGTGGGGCTTCCTGAGGCAAGACTTCCCTGCAGATCTACCAAGTACCTGAGTGGTACAAGATGCAGTGGATCTTCCCAAAATCACAATTCTCACCAGTTTTCCAGCCATTGTCCAAAACCTAATTTGCCTCCACTCGATTCCACAATGGAAGTAAAGAATGGAATTGTTTCGGGGAGTGCAGAGTACAAGTTGACACATAAGGGTGAACCGCTTCAAGGTTCAATCCCAAAACAACATTGCCTGAAATTCCAACATTGGTAATAGCCTTTCAATAAATTAGAATGCCTGAAGACTATAACCAGTTACAGAATGCAAACCATATATTTGTTATAAAATTTGAGTCTGATAACGTTCTCACAAGTTACCTACTGAAGTTATAGAGTCATACAACACGAAAACAGGCCCTTCGACCCACCTCGTCCGTGCCGACCAGGTCTCCTATGCTGAACTAGTCCCATTTGCTTGTGTTTGGCCCCATGTCCCTCTAAACCTTTCCTATCAACGTACCTGTCCGAATGTCATTTAAATGTTGTAATTGTATTCGCCTCTACCACTTTGTCTGCCAACTTGTTCCATGAACACACCACCTTCTGTGTGAAAAAAGTTGCTCCCCAGGTCCTTTTTAAATCTTTCCCCTCTCACCTTAAACCTATGCCCTGCAGTTTTGGACTTCCCTACCTTGGGAAAAAGATCTTGGCTATTCACCCTATCCATGCCCCTCATGATTTATAGACCCCTGCAAGGTCATCCCTCAGCCCCCTATGGTCCAGGGAAAAAAGCCCCAGTCTACTCAGCCTCTCCTTACAATTCAAACCTTCCAGTTTCAGTAACATTCTTGTGAATCTTTTTTGCACCCTTTCCATTTTAATAACAGCCTTCCTTTAGCAGGGCAACCAGAATTGTAAGCAGTACTCCAAATATGGCTTTACCAATATCTTGTACAGCTATAACATGATGTCCCAACCCCCGTACTCAATGCTCTGACCAATGAAGGCAGGTGTGCTAAATGCCTTCTTCACCACCCTGACTACTGCAATGCCACTTTCAAGGAACTATGTACCTGAACCCCTAGGTTTCTCAGTTGGCAACACTCCATAGGGTCCTACCATGAACTGTGTAAGTCATGCCTACTGAAGGCCCAATAATTGCTGTTTCCCCACCTGTGGCCCTTCATTGCTCCTGAGAATTGGTTACCTTGCCCTTGTAAAAGGAAATAAAATATTCTGAAAATAAATTTCACTTAGGCAATGTTTGCTCAGAGGAGACATTCGGGAAGTGCATTAAGGATTAATAGGATGGCAAGAAAGGGACAGTTGTTTGGCTGGAGTCAGTGAGGTCTTGTGGATTTTAATTGCATCATTCACATTTCCATTTACACTGTGTGAATATGGATTATTCTTCCAGCAATATTTCAGGAAAGGCAGAAGAAGTTCAACCACACCACTAGCTTAATGTCTTCCATTTATACAGTATTTTTAAAGTAGATAAATGTTCCAAAGGGGATCACTCATGAATAAACAGGTAAAAACCTGATTCTGAGCATAATAAGGATATATTATAAAAGGAGGCAGATTTTAAGCAGAGTATAAAAGAAACAGAGGAGTGCAGAAATGTTTAGGGAGGTATTTCCAGAACAAGGAACCTAGACACCTAGAGGCATGACTGCCAATATTGAGGTAAATCAAGGGAGGGATGCTTCACAGGCTAAAATCTGGGAAATAGAAATTCTGGAAGGTCTTCGGATTAGAAGAGATTACAGAGGTTGGGATGGAAAAGGTGTTGAAGTAATTCAAAATTGAGAATGAGAATTTTAAATTGGAGGTTTTGGACCATGAGCTTTATCAGTCAATAAGAACCTAGGTGATGGATGAATGAGACTTACTGTATGAAAGATTTCTTTTGGATGAATTGAAGTCTAAGGAACATCAGTGTGAGAATACATTTATTGACTCAAGTGACCCTTCTAAATAGTGAACGTCTGGCCCTGAGTCTCAGCCTGCATTATAAGATACTCTTACTAACCACACTCATTACTCTATAGCATCTGGTCACAGAGTAATTGCATATAACTATAGCCAGATAGCCCCAAAGAATTGGTGTTATTCATTCACAGCAGAATATACTTAGCCAGATAGAGGGACTTTGATGTCCTCATATTAATAAGTGCTGGCAACTTGCAAAATAATAATTTATTGCATTTATTCAAAATTTACATCAAAGGTTATTCTATCATAATCTTTTGTGCAACCATTGATTCAAGCTTAGTAAACAGGATCGATGTGTTCTGTATTTCATTAAACTTGTTGAAAATTGAACAGGCTTGTTTGCTTAAGTGGTTTAACCTTTCAATGATACATATTAAAAAGCAAGAATAGAAGCATTTCATGTAATTATACCCACTGCTTGATTTGACAGTGTTCCCTTTTGTCAATCCTTCCTTTGTTAGAACTACTTATGATAAAGAGCACATTTTGCCAAAATCATATTTTATTAAATTCATTTAGTGCATTCCAACCTTTTTACTTATAACTATATATTTGAGAATTAATAACTGTTGGAGTTTATTAATAACTTAATTCTTGTTTTCATAAGGAGCCATATGCTTTGCAAACATGGGTATTGCGATGTTAGAACCAGCCTTACCCATTTGGATGATGGAGACCATGTGCTCCCCAAAGTGGCAACTGGGTAAATATAAAGCTATACCACTTTCTCACTTGAAGTTCTGAGTAACCATATCAGAATCTTTTGGTAATCATGGGCAGCTACGTTGTTAATGCTTCATGAAGATTGCTGTGGTTAGTGTTTTTAGCAGAGCTCTGAATAAAGGAAAACAAAGACTTGTATCTATATAGTACCTTTTATGGCTACAGGATATTTAATATCTAAGTAGTATAGTCACTGTTGTAATGTTGGAGAAACCACAGTCAATTAGTGCAGGGCTGGCTTCCACAAGCAGCAATATGCCAATAACCAGCTAATTTATTTTTGAAATGCTGACTGCGGGATAAATGTTAACTAGGGAATCGGGGATAACTCACCTGCTATTCTTTCATTTCATGGGATTTTAAAAATTTTACCTGAAGAGGCATGTAGGTATCAAAAAACATCTCATCCATTAAAAATAAGCATCCTGGCAGTGAAGCACCTCTATACAACATTGGGGTGTCAGCCCAAACGTTTGTACTCAAGACCTGGAATCAGACCTCAAATCACAACCATCCGACTCAGAGACAAGCACACCATCACCTGACTCATAGCTGACAGCACGAGCTATATAATGAGACTGGGTTTATGATCTTACCTGAAATACTCAGCAGACAGAACCTTCATTAACAAACATTTTGCCACATTAAGAAATCAAGGCTGTCGTTCACTCCACAATAGCTTAGTTCAATTTTGACTTGTCTCCTATCAATTGCATTGTTTAACCTTTGTAAATTCTGACCTTTGAACAGATTTACACATTAATATTTGCTCAATCTACACACGTCAGATAATTGACCTGCATTGCATTTCATTTTGTGCATAGAAAGTAACAGTTATCCTTATAATTCATGGCATGGTTTTTACATGTTCAGCATTGAACCACATAAAAAAGTATTGATGCTACTACTGGTTAATATTAAGTAAATATGCAGCTCAGAAAACATAGGAGAAATCTTGCATGGTATAAAAGTAACTAGTTAAAAGGCACTTTTCAAATAGCTGTATCGTTACACAAGTATTATTCTTGTTCTTTTGTTAGTCCAGCTAAGCCTACAATAGGAAATTAGAACAGTTTATTCATACTGCAACATTTTATTACCTCTACAGTTATCAATACCTGCTTCTTGCAGATTACAATTTCATTCCATTTGAGTGACATTAATACTGATAAGCTTTATTGCGGTTTTCAGGTGTTGCTTTTGTTCCAGCAAGTGTCTCGTATCTAATTGGAACTAACATCTTTGGTGTTCTTGCACACAAAATGGGCAGGTAGGAAATTACCTTGTGAACCATTTATTGAGTATGTAGGTCTCACAATCTGTGCAATGGATTTTGATGATTTTAATAATAAAAACAGATCAATAGATTTCCAGTGATTCCTGACTTAAAGTATCTTTAATCATCTAATACCCTATGTGTCTGCCTCACAGGAAATGAAATCACATGGGTTTATTTTATGAAGGAAAGTTTATGGGCTTAGCAGACAGACTAAGCCATCTCTCAGACAAGTTATATTAAGGGAAAGTCAGTTTCTGAATACGAAAGCACTTGAATGGTTATCATCAGCAAATCCTGCCAGTATTCACCAGTTCTTATCTCTTCCTCAGGTGGTTGTGTTCTCTTCTGGGGATGATAATTGTCGGAATAAGCATTGTTTGCGTAAGTTAACAATAATAATGGGGTTATCAAATGACTTGCTGTAATGAAGTGAATTTGAATGTTCATTTCACTCACCTTTTACTACATGTGGCATATTTTCATTTCTGAAATTGATTAATGGCTTTTAAATTTAGTTAAGCTTTTCCAATTAATTGCTGGTACTTAACCTTTCTTTTGATGATACACTACAAGAACAATTTAGGCATGATTTCATTGTTTTGAACACTAACAAATGGTATAAAAGCAACTGGTGAAAACTCAATTTTCAAAAATTTTGAAAAAGACAATTTCCAAAATGTTGAATGAGTTTCTGGGCACATGTACCCCCCCCCCCCCCCCCCCCCCCCGCCACCTTGTAAGGGCAATAATATTTTATACAATTTATATTCCTAACAAGAGCATAATGTCAGAATTGAACTCAGAATGAGGATGGCAAATAAAGTCCAGGATAATCCAATTAATTCCTTCCAGTACGATAAAAGAGAAACAGTTGTTAGAATTGTAAAACATTGAAAGGATACTGAAATGGAACTGCAGCATTTTTAAAAGTAAGTCCATCAAATATATTGAGAATTTAGAGAAATTGATTTTAAAGATGATTAACAAGTTTGTTTCATTTATGACAGGTACCACTTGCTAAGAATATATATGGTCTCATCGTACCAAACTTTGGAGTTGGTTTTGCCATAGGTGAGCAAACCTTTGTTAGTAAGACAATGACTTCATAAGTAAAGAATAACAGGCAGAACAGCATCTTGTGGAAGAGAATATTGTTTGAAATTAAGATCAGCTCCAGTAATTAATTAGTTAATCTTTAGCAGAAGTTGGAAATTCAGCTTTACAAAGTATCACAGGCTACAGTTATATTCTTAAAACCAAAAGAACTGCTGATGCTGGAAATCAGAAATGAAAACAGAAATTGCTTGAACGCTCAGCAGGTCTGGCAGCAACTGTGGAGAAAAATCAGAGTTAATATTTTTGGTTCAGTGACACTCCCTCAGAACTGATGGTAAGCTAGTTAAACATTGATTTGTATGCAGAAGATAGGGTGGTGAGAGTGGGTGAGGAGTAAATGATAGGTAGAGATACAGCCCAAAGAGAGAGAAGAATGGTTGGACAGACAAATGGGTGGACAACGATCAGCCTGTGAGAATGAACAGCTACTTGTGGACAATTAGTGGCTAACAATGGGTGGTGTGTAATAGCAGACCATTTGATTACAAGGCCTGGTGTGTGGGGTTTGGGGTAAGGACATGAAAGAAGGTGCCTCAAACCATGTAATTGTTGAACTTGATATTGAGTCCAGAAGGCTGTAGAGTTCCCAATCAGAAAATGAGGTGCTGGTAGCTACCATCTGTTCTGAGGGCCACTGAACCTGAAACGCTAACTCTGATTTCTCTCCACAGTTATATTCATGTAACGCTAACTCTGATTTCTTTCCACAGCTATATTCATGTTAAAGTGGTTTTCTGTCCATGCCAATGTAAGATCAAGAATTAGAGAAACTATTTTATTCTCTACTATCTTCTGAGTGAGTGGAGCCCTCTGGATTTATTTGATTTTGTCTCAAATGCAATCTAACCTCAGTCATAGGGTGATATATTAAATATACAGGCCTCAGACCAGTACCTATAGAGTGCACTATGTATCTGGCAGCATAGCTTTAGTGGATTAATACTTAAAGTTACAATTGGAACATTTTGCCAATCACAAGATCTATTTTCATGGAATGAAGCAATTGAATGGCTTCATGGTTTTGATCTGTGCAAAAGATTGAGCAACAGGCATGTCAGTCCAAATGGTATTTTTTGTTCTTAGTCAACTGCATCAATTAACATTACATGATACATATTTCTCATAATGCTAGAGAAAATCGATTTGAAAAAAAATTTAAAAGCTGAAGATGTAAGGTTTCTATTTTATGAATACAGGTGAATTGAAACCCAAGTTTCAATGTTAAAAACACAATGTGCCAGTTCACAGTATTATCCAACTTGTACTATTGACACATTTCTGGCGCAGTCTTGCTCTCTTCCAGGCCAGTAGAATTGTTCAATAAAATTAATTAATCGACATTTAAACAACACTTTATTGGTTAAATGATCAGTGTAAATTATATTTCAATATATCATTTGGATTTTTTGGAATTAATTCATAATAACATCATGCAATTTTATTACTGCGTGTTATGTTTCTACATCTGAATTTTTCACTCCATTTTTAAAAGAACACACTATGTACATTAAAAAAAAGTCTTGGTGCAACTCACAATTTAAACAATAAGTAAAATATTGGAAATTTTCAGCAGACCAGCCAGAATCTGTGGGAAGAGGAACAAACTTAACATTTTAATGACCTTTTGTCAAACATATTTTTGTTGCTAGATAATCATTAAGATGGCATAGCTACCTGACCTTAAGCCTGAAATATGATTTTCCAGCACATTAACGTATATTTTAGTCATTTTTTTATAACAATCACCATGATTGTTTTAAAAGATGTGCTTTGAATTATTCTAATATTTGTTGTTTGCAGCTAACTTGATCATGCCTAATCAATGTACTATTCCTTTTAGGAATGGTAGATTCTTCTATGATGCCTATTATGGGTTACTTAGTGGACTTGCGTCATGTCTCTGTGTATGGAAGTGTTTATGCAATTGCAGATGTGGCATTTTGCATGGGGTTTGCATTAGGTAAGTTTACACAGTACTGTTGGGAATTTAAGAAGTATTTAAAACTTGTTTGAAAGATAACAAATCAAAGATGTTGCATTAACTTTTAAGCACTTTTAAGTCCTCAGCTGTACGTATTGAACTTGAATACTGTTAATTGAACACTAGATGGCCTCAGACTGGAGCAAGGTATTTTTATATTGAATGCTTTGTTCAGAGAGAATATTCCAGAAGGCCTGAAATGAAAGCAGTTATTATATTGCTGCACTGATTGAAGGATTATCGGACATTCTAACACTTCCCAACAAATGAGGTACCTTTGATGTGTAGTTGCTGTTGTTTCAGGGGCAATGCGGCAGCCATTTTGTGCACAGGTTTCTGAAATGAAGGAAATGATTAAATATTCTAATGTATTGGTGGCTGAGAATTAATTGCTGATCATGTACCTCTCTGATAATGCAAAGCAAGCTTGCTTGACAACATTCCAAGAGTAATGAAACTCTGTATTCTTATAGAACAAAAGTATGGGTATCCATATTGAATTATCAGTTGTAAGTTCAGACTTAGACATGATGTTTGTTGAAGGCTTTTAAAACCACTAATGCTGTGATCCTCAGTGGATGACACTGTGCAATCCAATTATTAATAATTATGGTAAACACTTTAGTTTTACACAAATAACCCATGTCGTCTGAAATGTTCCAGAAATTGCTGTGTAAATGGGAGAAGTTGGGAGAGAAAAAATATCAATGAAGCAAAACAATATATACATAGTATCCAAGATATGATTTGGCAATTTTTGGTCTTTGGGCAAGATCCAAGAGTCCAATGACTTAAGTCTAGCCTATAGCTGTACAATTGCCCAAATCTCATCAAATCAGCACGACAGCTGCATATCAGTTTAAGAGGGGTTTGCAATGTAGTAGTCAGTGTAACTAGTGGATACTAGCGAGGAAAGCAATGTCAGGCTGAGTAAAAGATTGAGTGAAAAGCCTCAGAGATTAGTGTTGGTCTCCAATCTCTATGCAATTCAGAAATAGCAGATAAAATTGATCAATTTTTCAGATAATACTAAATTAATGAGCAGTCAAGACTGATAAAGCTGTGACAGAAGAATGTAGAAAATTTGCCATAGGCAGAATTATGACCAATTACATTCACAATTTGGTGTGAGCTATTTGACATTGAAAGGGGGATAAAAAGAGACATACAGATATTTAATAAATGGTGCCAAAGCTGAAAAGGGGAAAAGCTGAAAGAGATCCAAACTGATAATGGATTCACGATTTAGGATGTTCAATTTAGGAAAATAACTAAGAAACTAAATTGAATGCTGGTATATTTTCAAAACAGTAAAAGTCTGTGGCATTTGTTGCTATCACAACAGATTTTCATGAAACATTCTTTTACTGCAGTCAGCCTGCTCATTAAAGTTCAAGAAAATCATCAGAGCCCCAGAAGTAAACATCAGAAATAGCACATTGGCCAATTGCTCATACTGGAGAATGAGTTAAGAGGAAAGGTTAGACATCAGATCTGTCAGTCTCGAGGGGGAAAAAATGACACAGGAAAGGATTAGAAAAACTAATGTCTCAGGATTGCTGTGGTGGTCCAACAAGGTTCAACACAAGCTGGAAGAACAATACCTCATCTTCTGCTTGGGGACCTTACAGCTTTCAGGACTCCACATCGAGTTTAACAATTTTAGAGCCTGAACACCTCTTTCCATATTTATTATCTACCCTCACACTCCAGTTTTTGTCATGACATGGTTTGCTTTCAGCACAGCCAACCCATTTTTCAAGGACTTATAGTACCCATTTTCACCTATCCAGCTACTCTTATTCCCTACCTTACAATCAACAATCCCTTTGTCTGCCTACATATTTTTCCTCTCTCTGGGTTCGGTCTCCACCTATCCACTTAACTGATAGCTGCCATCAGTCTGATCAAGGGTGACTGGATTCGAGATGTTAACTCTTTTCTCTCCATAGATGTTGCCAGACCTGCTGAGTTTTTCCAGTAATTTCTGTTTTTGTTGTTTCAGATCTCCAGCATCCACATATTTTGTTTTATATGAGAAAAACTGATCATGAGGACCATTTCAATTTACAGCACATTAGGAAAAGGGATTACAGATGAAAACAGTAAAAGGCAAATTCCAACATAAAATTTTAAAATGCTGGAAATGCTCAGCAAGTCAGGTAGCATCTGTGGAGAGAAAGAATTTATATTACAGATGGATGACCTTCCATCAGAATAAATTCAGGGCTGCTGACAGGAAAGACCAATCATCTTAAGTTTCTTGAAATCACCCCTTGAAATTTTGTTTATGCTCATTGTCTAGCCCAATCTCTCATCAATGAGATCTGCGCACAATGATACAAATGAGCTAACCTAAGAAATTTTAGTAAAATTTACAGATTATAATTCAGGCAGATTTAGATTGAACCTCTGCATCAGATAATGAGAATCAGTTTCAGGTTTACATAGAGGCAGAGTAATTTCCTATTTTAATCTTTTGTCGAAAGAGCTGCACTATTGAATACACTTCCATTTTTTGGCAGAATACTTGTTACCAAAGATTTTTGGAATGTCTGTTATCTTCTCTTTTGTTGTTGATTATTGTAATGTCTGTATGACAATCATCATAAAATCATTATATGACTGGTGGGGCAGAACAATATACTGCTGTTGAGACCTTCCAGTGGTCACAACGCTGTTACCATATTTAAAGCCCACCTGCACACCATTTCAGATGTCGCAGGCTAGAAACCAGCTCTTACACTGTGGTTGGGCACCGCTATCCCCAAGGAAATGGCCGAGAAAGGCAAGTCAGCTGCTTGCTTTGTGATCCTGGAGGTGCAGGGTGGATGGTGGAGAGGAGGGCCAGCCTTTTTTCCGCAGAATGCCAAAAGAGACCATAGCACCAGACACAGCTAAACTGAACATAGAGAACCACCCAGGTTCTCCCAGGTCAAGAGAAACTCACAGCAGGTCAGTAAGAAGATTAATGCTGTCCACAAGGGTCACACTCACAGGATCAGAATTCACCCAAACACTGCCACTGCACAAAGCCCCACAAGGGAAGTGAGGGAAATATTTCTGTGATTGGGAAATAATAGTAGTGAGAGGAGACTGGGGATTGAACGTCACAGCTAATGGAATTGAGAGATGTGTGATAATGGAGAAGAAAAATAGAGATTTAAGCACTTTTTTTAAGAAAAAGTGATTTTGTCCAAATACATCACCACATTATTATTTTGCAGGAGTTTGTGAGGGTTTGTAACTGCTTAGAGCAGCAGGGTGCCACACTGCTGTTACATTCTCAGGTTGCCATTGCACTTTTTATTAGTTAAAGTAGATTTTCACACAAAGGCCAGTAGCAAATTGCATTTCCATTTTTCCGTGTTGGAAAAGAGTTGATGCCACAAAGTGCACTTTTGACCCAATTTCAATTAGATTTTAGACACAAAGCCTGAAGCCACGAGAACTAAAGTCTAGAGGCAGCCTCAAGTGCTCCTGTTAAACAGAACTCAAAGGAAATCCATTTAAGGTGTTTGGAACTGATGTTGAATGTACAACACAATGCAAACAGACGAATACATGCTTACCTGATTTCTGTGGTTTAACCATGTTTATTCGAACTAGAGAAAAGACAATCAGTGATTGCCTGATAACAGCTAAAATTATGACAAAAGCCATAGATGAGAAAAGACCTTATGGCCCATTGATTCTCATCTCTCAGTTAAATTTACGCAGTTTGAATTCTGACTGTTTATTGAGTAACTCATTTAAAAAAATAACAAACTGCATATGTGTAGATACTGGGCTTCTTTTTATTAATCAACTGAATTATTTCTAGTGTCGATTTTTCCAAACTGTGACCAAACAAGTTGAAGGCCACTGGCTACAGTAGAAGCAGTAGCCACTATCATCATTCTGGGTAATGTTAAAGTGCAACTCAGTCAGTTATTATTTCCTGCAATTGTAAAAAAGTTAAAGTAATGATTGGAAAGAAAATTATTACATTTCCCCTACAATAATGTACAATAAATTATTTTTAATGCAATTAACTTGAGAAAAATGTTTTTGTCTTTAAAATCCTTGTATCAATGCAAGTTGCAGTATATAAATGCAATGAGAAATGATTGAAGGAATTAGAAACTGCAATGTTTCACTTGATCTATTTTCCATAGACACAACCTGAATAGCCATGTCCATGTGGTTTAAAGTAAGAACTCAAACTACACCAGGTTATAGTCCAACAGGTTTATTTGATATCACAAGCTTTTGGATTGTAGCCCCTTTGTTAGGTGCAGTGAGAGAGAAGAACATGCAGACACAGTTTATAGGCATAGAGATCAAGGGCAGCGTGATCAAAAGATCATAAAACTGATGTGAGTGGTGTGTAAGATAAAAAGTCTCTGCAGGTGTCCAAGAGTGTTAGATGGTGACTAAAGCGTCAACGGCTGAATAACCAGCAAAGGGATGACCTATAATCCGGCAGAGAGATAATTAAAAAAAATTAAAAGTAAGGTGTTGCTGGACACAAACTAAATAACTGGAATAACATGATAGATACAAGAGTCACATGCCAAGGGTCTAACCAAAGTAATAAATAATTCAAAACTGTATAAACAAATTAAGGTTGAGAGATCATCATTTATCAAGGTGACGCTGTCAAAACAGGACAGGAAGGAAGATTTTACAGATACAGAAGTGTGGGGAGGGGGTAACATGTAGTGCGACATAAACCCAAGATCATGGTTGTGGCCGTCTTCATAGGTACAGAACTTGGCTATCAGTCTCTGCTCAGTGATTCTGTGTTGTGTATCTCAAAGTCCCCCTGAGAGGATATTTACCCGAAAATTGGAGACTGAATGCCCTTGACCACTGAAATGTTCCCCAACAGGGAAGCAACATTCCTGTCTGGCGATTGTTGCACAGTGTCCATTCATCTGTTGTTGTAGTGTCTGCATGGTTTCACCAATGTACCATGTTTAGGGGCATCCTTGCCTGCAGCGTATAAGATAGACAACGTTGGCCGAGTCACATGAGTACATGGTGAGTGGTGTTTCCACGTGTGATGATAGTGTCCATGTTGAAGATCTGACAGGTCTTGCAGATGTTACCATGGCAGCGTAGTGTTGTATTGTGGTCGATGTTATCCTGAAGGCTGGGTAGTTTGCTGCGAACAATGGTCTGTTTAAGGTTTGGCGGTTGTTTGAAGGCGAGAAGTGGACGCATAGGGAAGATTTTGGTGAGATGCTGATTGTCATCGATGACATGTTGAAGGCTGTGAAGAACATGGCGTAGTTTCTCCACTCCAGGAAAGTATTGGATGACAAAGGGTACTCTATTGGTCATATCCTGTGTCTCTTCTGAGGAGGTTGTTGCAGTTTTTCACTGTGGCATGTCAGAACTGGCAATCAATCAGCATCTCACCAAGATCTTCCCTAGACCTCCACTTCTTGCCTTCAAACAATTGCCAAACCTTAAACAGACCATTGTTCACAGCAAATTACCCAGCCTTCAGGACAACATTGACCACAACACCACACTACCCTGCCATGGCAACCTCTGCAAGACCTGTCAGATCATTGACATGGATACTACCATCACACATGGGAACGTCACCTACCACGTACACAGCAGATAATCATGTGACTCGGTCATCATTGTCTCTCATACGCTGCAGGCAAGGATGCCCCGAGGCATGGTACATTGGCGATACCATGCAGATGCTACATCAATGGGTGAATGGACACTGCACAACAATTGCCACACAGGCATGTTCCCTCCCAGTCAGGGAACACTTCAGCAGTCAAGGGCATTCAGCCTCTGATCTTCAGGTAAGCATCCTCCAAGGGGGATTTTGAGATACACAACAATGTAGGATCACTGAGCAGAGACTGGTAACTAAGTTCTGCACCCATGAAGATGGCCACAAACGTGATCTTGGGTTCATGTCACGCTACATGTGATGCCCCCACACTGTTCTGTATCTGTAAAATCTTCCTTAGTGTCCTGTTTTGACAGTGTCACCTTGATAAATTGTTATGATCTCTCTACCTTAATTTGTTTGTATGGTTTTGAATTACTTATTACTTTGGTTAGACCCTCAGCATGCGGCTCTTATACCTATCATGTTATTCCAGTCATTTACTTTGCCTCCAGCATCACCTTATTTTTAATTTCTTGTAATTATCTCTCTACCTCATTTAATCAGATTATAGGTCATCCCTTTGCTGGTTATTCAGCTGTTGACACTTTACTCACTGTCTAACACTCTTGGACACCTGCTGAGACTTATTATCTGACACTCCACTCACACCAGTTGTATGATCTTTTGATCTCTCTGCCTATAAACTTTGTGTCTGTGTGCTCTTCTCTCACTGCACCTGATGAAGGGGCTGCAGTCTGAAAACTCGTGATTTCAAATGGACCTGTTGGACTATAACCTGGTGTCATATGACTTCTGACTTTGTCCACCTCCAGTCCAACATGGCACCTCCACATCATGTGGTTTAAAATTCTGATTGAAGATATGGTGTTTCAAACCCTGAGTAGAATTGACATGTCTAAGCTGGTCCATATTATACCTTAACAGGTTAGGTCTGAACAGGTTGAGGAGAATGAGAGTTCAGTGGTTTAGTATGATAATTAATTTTTATATTTATTTTTATTACTTTGTTAGAGGTTCTAATTTCAAAAGAGAGAGCTTTTTCCCTTATGTTATCTCAATACAACTTACAGCCAGTATAACAATTATTACTGCTCTCATGATGACACCATATAATTAACTGACATATACCTTGCTTAGCTCTATCATCACAAAACTTTAAACCAGCCAAAACCTACTTAAACTGGTGAAGAAAATGCTTGGGTTACACTTCCAAGGAACTCGTCAGGTTCCAAATAACTATTTATCTCTAAATGTTTTCTGGATAGCATACTGTTTTTTTTCTTCTCTAATTTATTATGTCCTTTCAGGGCCTTCAACTGGTGGAGCCATTGCTAAAACAATAGGATTCCCTTGGTTAATGATAATTATTGGTATCATTGACATACTATATGCTCCATTGTGTTTTTTCCTTCGAAGCCCTCCTGCCAAGGAAGAAAAGATGGTAAGAAGCTGAAAACAATTTAGCAGTGGTTGCTTTAGATTGCTAAAATCCTGCACATAATAATACTTGAATTTCTCTCATTTTAGGCTATTTTGATGAATCAAAATTGCACTGTTAAAACCAAAATGTACACAACTCAGGACCACTTTCAGAATGCCCCTGTAGTTGACAATAATGAGGAAGAGTCTGAGAGTGATGAATGATTGCTGCCATATCATATTCTTTACAGTATATTTTCATGTACAGTATGCAGTGCTTTGTGGAATGTCCTTTAAAATAGTCCTAAATGTACTAACTTTTTTTTTGTTCATTAAAATATATCAAAGCTGTTACTTTATTTACTCATGTGAGAATTAATTAGGATCATAGGGTATGGGGGTAGGAGACGTAAAGCTGGTTGAGTAAAATTGAATGCCAGCAGCCTTATCACAACAATCGGAATGTTTATTCCATTTTTAATCAATGAATAGTTTTCGAAGCATTTATCAGTTTATTTTATACGCACGTATCTATTAGTGAGAACAAACCCAGGTGTATGCACATATTCAAATATGAACTTTTATTGTTGTATGTTTGCTCAAAAGGTTTTCTTGCCCATATATGAGATTTGTACAGATTAATACATTTCTACAAATCAGATTTGTGGACAATTCATTTCATGTAAAAGTATGGGATATCTCAGCAGATATAGTATACTTGTAATATTTATTTATGAGTAGTCACAGTAAAGTTCACAAGTCAAGCAACTAACTGTCTGAAAAACAGATTAATTCTGTTCTTAATTAATGAAGTTGAACCTTTAATTGACATTTAGACAGATGAGTAACAACATCTCCTCCTTTCCATAAAAGGTATCATACTCTTCACACTGATAAAGTTGCACATAAAGTGACTGAACATTTGGTTGTGACATGAAAAGTTTTTGGAGAGCACTAAAATGTGAAAACCATTAACTATTTTGGAAAGCAATCCTCAACAGTACTTTTTTCCTAAAATCTATACGTTTACATTGTGGCCAATCACTTTTCTGTTCTGTAACTCATGTGCCTTCATTATATAAAATATATTTACATGGATTCGATATGTTGGCACATCTTTACTGATTAATACTCTACACATCTGGTTACAGCAAACTTCACAAAAATGTCCAGCCATACATGCAAGCATCATGATGCACTACAGTTGATAAATATTCAGAAACCATGCCTTAAATCTTCCTCCATGACTTGGTTCTGTCAACATTCTTCATGATTACTTAAAATAGGCTTTCATAATTGGCTCTTATTGTTAAGTGACGAGACATTTTGTGGTACAGACAACATGTCCTGTTCATGCAAATATAATCACTGTTCACAGACAGATTGGACAGTTGGCCGCTTTGTCCGCTAACAGATAGGAAAATATAAATAAAGATGTACAGAGTTTCTCCTGTTGACCAATAAGTGGGTTCCTAATCTGCAATCAGATGTGTGTGTATGTGGATGTGTGTTCCTTCATTTTATGGAGAAATGTCTGTAATAAAAGTACTCTGAATAAAAATGGCATTGGTTTATTAATTTAGCTGTTATTTGGATTTAGGATATATCAAATAAGAGTTTGAAATGACCATTTGAAAATTATTATTATTATGTATTCTTCAACATTTTAATATGTTTAAGTTTTCAAAAGCATTAGCAAATAAACTAAACTGGTAGGAATTGCCTTCCTCATTTAGATTATGGACATGGCTGTTACATACAAACATAGAGACGATAAACTGGAAAAATGCACTTGGTCTCATCACGTTATCCCAATGATTGTGTCATAGATAAAAATAATGGCACTCCAACCATCAGTTGTGATCTAGTAGATGCAAGAGTTGAAAAAAAAGCCTGGATCAGAGAAAAGTTAACTTCTTTGAATTTCCTGTCTGAACCCCAAAAACAAATGCACCAGGAGATTTCAGTAATCGTGAGGTGTATCATCATTTAGTACAGGAAATTATCCAGATCCCTTTTAAATAATTTTTGTCCTTGTCTAGGATGTTACATTGTGGCATTGCTGACCTTGGTTCTGAAATAAATCCAGTTCAGCAAAGCCATTAACTTTTTTTACTTGTATAAAAGCTTCCATTTGAAAAACTTAAAACAAGTACATTAAAATGTTTGCTTGCTGCTAACCCAAATCTTAATTTCCGTATCTTGGTGACTGTAAATACATGGAGTCTTACAGAGCTGTAAAGCCAGTTCGGTGCTTTTTGATCATAAGATGGGTGGAGGTGCTCCATCTGATGCCATTTTCTCTATGAAAGCTAACAGTTACTCTATCCATCTACCAGCTCAAAATATAGAATAGCTAATTGAACGAGATCCCAGAGGACTGTTGCTACCTATCAAAAATATAACATAAGTCACCAAGTTCTAAAACAGAGTAAAGCACAAGTAAGAAAATTTGTTGAGGAAAATATCTGTGCAGCAGCAGGAAGAGTGAGGTGTCATGTTCTTAGCTGAGACACTCAGAAGTTGGTCAACCTTCACGCCACACAGCTTTTAAATATAGCATTAAGCATTCAATACAAGTTTTAATTTATTGTAGTGAATAATGACTTGTAATCAGCCAAAATGATTTGAATGTTTTTAAGGCTAAGATCGGTAGAATTTTTGAACAGTAAAGGAATTAAGGGCTATTGTGAGTGAGCAAGTAAGTGGAGCTGAGTGCACGAAAAGATTAGCCCTGATCTTATTGAATGGAGGAGCAGCCTTGAGGGGCAGATGACCTGCTCCTCCTATTTCTTATGTTCTTAAAATATTTCCTTTGAACCGGGAAGCTGGTGGGGTGAACGTGTTCTAGCTGACCCTCTACCACCATTTTCAACAGCATAAAATCCATCACACGTCTATCTCTCTGCTGTTACGAAGATGTCATTTGAAATCAAACTGTTACATCTGTTTCTCTCTCAAATACAACAAAATCTGCTGAGTTTTCCAGCTTTCTGTTTTTATTTTAGATTTCCATCATCTGTAGTATTTTGCTTTTATGTTATCACAAGACTCCTTATACTTTGTCAGTTTTACTTGAAGGATACTGAAGGATACCGAGTGTAGGACTCGGAAAAGTATTACACTGTTGTGGAGATACTCTTTTAAGGTTGAATTAAGCGGTTGAACAGGCTGGGGACATGACATTTAACCATGGTATACAATATATAGGTGCCCAAATGAAAACCATTCTGTTCCACAGTATAAATATACCTCAATTGGGAAAATATGCAAAAATATTGTTAGATTTCATAGCATCATAATAGTTACAGTAGAGAAGTTTGCCCATCATTTCTGCACTGGGTTCTCCAATAAGCATTACGATTGTCATTTATCATTGTCAATTACTTGCCCTTTTCCCTTGCCTTTGTGCATTGTTTCTGTTCAAATAATCATACAACGCCCTTGAGCGCTTCAATTGACCAGGCCTCTACCACATTTCCAGGCAGTGCACTCCAAGTCCAAAGCATCTGTGTGAAAAAGTTCTTCTTCACATCATATTTGCTCCATTTGCAAATCACTTTAAATCTGCCCTCTCATTCTTGATTCTTTTATGAGCAGGTACAGTTTCTTCCAATCTACCACTCAATTTTGAAAACATGCCAGATCTCCTCTTAGCCTTCTTCTCTCCAAGGAGAATAGTCCATTCTTTCCAAACTATCCTGATAAGTGAAGGTTCTTATCCTTAAAATCAACAGCACACAATATTCCAGTTGAGGTCCAACAAATCTCTTGTACAAACTCAGTATAACCTCCCTGCGCTTGTTCTCCATGCCCCTATTAATAAAACCTAAGACACTGTATGCATTATTAACTGCTCTCTGCAGCTGTCCTGCCACCTTCAGTGATCTATGCACATATTCACCCAGGTCCCTCTGCTCCCAAGCCCCCTATGGAGTGAATCCCTTAATTTGTATTGTTCGCCCATGTTCTACATATTGAAATGTATCACCCTTCACTTGAACTCCATCTGCCATCTGTATGCCTAATCCATCAACTTACCTATGTCCTTTAGGAGTTCTAAACTGTCCTCTTCAGAGTTTACACTACTTCGAAGTTTTTGTACCATTAGCAAACTTGAAATTGCTGCCAAAGCATCAATATCAAGGTTATTAATGCACAACAGGATTTAAGAGATTTATTAGAATGGTATTACTTTAATGAGGGAATTCAATGCGGACAGACTAGAGGAGCTAGGATTGTTCTCTGCAGACTAGAGAAAATTTAAATGTAAACTGGACAAGATTAAAGAGAACCTATTTCTATTCGTGGATGGCACAATAATCAGATTTAAGTAATTGGCAAAAGAACCAGGGCACAGATGAAAGATTTATTTACACAAGCAGTTTATGATTTACAATACACTGCCTGAAATGGTGGAAGCAGAGTCAACAGTAACTTTTAAAGTGAAATTATATAAATACTTGAAAAGGCATGTGTTATGAGGAAAGATCAAGGAAGTGGGACCAATTGAATAGTTCTTTCAAAAGACCCAACACAAGAATGATCAAGTCAAATAGTTTGTCTGTGCAATAAAAATTAATGATTCTATAGATAGTTCAAGTTAGCAATTAAAATTCATGAGCTTTTTTAAAAATTTGTTTACAATAAGCTAACTGGTATGTTCTGTAAACTTGCAATATCAAACAAGTTAACTTGCCCTATTGTACAAGCCCAATCAACAGATAAAATGATTGTGTATGTAATACTCATGAATGGTCAGAAACAGGACTTCCCTCTTACAAACCTTGGCATGGCTGGAAGCATTTCCTTCTGGAGGAACCCAGCTACAAATGTATTAATAGAGATACTGACCCTTAAATTTTCTGGAGTACTTCAGCATTATAGGGCCTTCTAATGTTAATTTGTGTTCAACACATGTACGAAGAAAAGATTATCTATATGTAGAATTAAATAAGGTTACAAAAACAAGAATGTTTCAATATCATATTTATTGGGCAGTGCTAATGTTCTAGACACCCAACTCTCCACTTTGCTGTGGTAGAGGTGGGGAACACTAGGGTTCAATTATCCAAACCGGAAACCTTGCAAATTAATTAGTGTTACTTTCTCTGCTTCAGTAACAACTTTTATTTTTCCTTCATGTGCAAAAATTACAAGTTGGTAAGTCGATTTGAATTGTCACATTCTATCAAAATTTAACTATCTGCAGGTCTGCGTAGTAAACCTTGCTGAATGTTTTACCATGCAATACATACTGTAGTATAATGTCAGTAGACATCTCTTCATAATACACATTACTGTTTCAATAAGGACAAAAATGTCAGTGCATTTTTGCACCCTTGCACAAGCATTTGAGGTTCCAAATAGTCATCCCTTAAATTCCAAATATCTGTAAAGAAACAACATATATACTAGCAAACTCAGCTTTACTAAAATACCTTTAATAGACACAAAAGCTCACCACACAGTTTGCTATGTTGATACACATTTGGCAAAGAAATATCTATGCAAAGAACAAAAAGAGGTGAACTTAAAGAATTACAGGTTTATGACATGATTCAAATTTTAAAACATGGTCCCAAAAGAGACTTCAAATCCATCTTCCCGACATATTGTGGACTCATCTGCAGAGTACCATCACCAAAAGAATTAATTTAAATATATCTCACTAAAAAACTTCTGTAACGGGGAAGAGGAAGTCATAGAACTGGCTGTGTTGTTTGTTGACACTGTAGTCACATTAAAAGTCAAAATCACAAGACAGAAGAACAATTGCATTATTGCACAGAAGCAAGGAGGAAAATCAACAAAATAGTAAATTTGGTTCAGTACAATCATCAGGAAATTGAAATGAAATCATGAAAGGGATTCAGCATCATCAATAATTTGCTCATTTGATACATCAGTAAATGACTGCACATCTGTCTGACTGGCAATGTCAATTTCATCTGCTGTTATAGATAAGATGTCATCCGAAAGCTTTGTGACCTTTCTTGTTTGCTGTTCTGAAGATACACCCTCACTTAATTCTAAATCCTCGTACCCTGCTTTATAATGGATTGTAAGCAGCGTGAGAGCTTGAAGTCGTTCACCTGACTTTGAAAGGGCAGCAGACAGGAGCAACTTCTTTCTCGGATCTGTGCTCTCCTTCTCTTCCTTGATTAAAGCATAATTGTGTTCTAGTTCCTGGTCTATTTCATTTTGTAGCTTGTCCAACATCAATTCGAGTTTTTGGCAGCGTTCATCTGTTGGTAATCCTCGATACAGATCCCGGCCAATCTCTTTAACAGCAATAAATACACTATCATCAAGACCACCTTCTTTCTTAACTGGTAACTTGGTTCCCGTGCTAGCAGCTTGTCTTTTGGAAGGACTGCTGGCACTGTAAGTCTCTGTGTCACTGCTTTCATTGTCTGAGGTGTTTGGAGTGTGTTTTGGAGATGGCTCTACCAAATCGACACCAGGGTCAGCAAGGCGAGCTCTGGGCCCTGGCCTTAGGTTCAGCAAGCGTGAACTAGTATTAATGATATGTCGTGTTAATCCAGTAGACCTGTTAAAGGATGACTTTGATTCCAAGTCAACTCTTCTTTCTGGTGCAACTGAAAAGGGAGGCTCTGTTGCTAGACATTTGTCCTGGCACTTTTTATGGCAAACAAATGCACATATCATGCATTGAGAAGCCGCTTTGGTCCAGACTTTCTTTTTACAGTAATCACACCAAGTTGGGTTCTGAAATTGAGTATCTTGGAAATTATGCCTCTTCTCTGTGCATAACTTACTAAGATCCTCCTTACTGAAAGTAGGAATATCCTCCTGTAAAATATCTTCCTTTTCCTTTTCTACTTGAACACTAGAGTTTTCTGTATCACCTTCTTTTAGATATGTAAAATTTAATGTAATGTCACCATAGCACAGTTTCTCATTGAATCCCTTATGAGTGCTTAGATTTCGTAGTGCAGTCCTACTGACAGCAGCTTTTGGTTCAGGAGCACTTAGCCTGAAAGTTGCCTGATACTCCAGTGAGGCTGTAGAAAGACATTCCATTGCTATCTCTTCAAGTTTTATACTTGCATGGCCTAAACAAATAAGTCCACCCGATTTAAAGGGTTCTTTACACCAGATTGCGACATTGACATACTTATGGTGGCTTTCAACCTCAAAAACACATGTTGCCTTGTTCCACTTTCCAAACCTCTTGCGGTAGATGACCTCTGACGATTCCCAGATTTGGTTATCTTCTGCTCCTTCACGCATATTGCAAGTAGCTTCTGGAACTTTTTCCTTGCAATCTTGTTTATTTATAGCTGACTTGGATAGTGATGGATCTTCATTTTGGTCCCCAATTTTGCCTATACTCTTTTCCACATTTCTCTCTGCACTGTTGGTGGAAGGAATTGGTTTGTCAAGTTTTTCGGTAGCAACATCGCCTGATTCAAGCTGGTATTGGGTTTCACAGGAAGCCAAAGTAAGCTTAATTTGGGGTCTTGGGGGCACAGGAGGTTTATTTGTGGATCCTGATACTGGTTTACTAGGCTGTTGTGCATCAGGGATATCTGGACACTTCGACTGAACAGATTTAACCGCATCTTTTTGCTGTGGTTTCAGGGGAATCTGATAATTGCCCAAATTTAACTTGCGATTCAGAATAGGAGATATGGTTCCCAAAGGTTTTGCAGCAAGTGTAGCTACTGAGCGCTTTGGACTTTGATTACTTGGTGCAAAATCCTCCTTTATTATTGTGGGTGGTGGCTTGATTTCAGGGCATACTAATTCTTCAAATTCAGAATCCAAGTCTTTAGCATCCGTACTGTCTAAAACACCTTCATCATCGAATGTTTGTGGACCAAACTGTGAACCGAAGCCTGTGTCCTCAAGTTGGCCAAAGTTATCTTGGAGAGAATTACATTGTTGATTCTGATGTCCACCAACAGGCCTCTCATAGTAAACCATTACTTTGTCACCAGCTTGCTTTATAAGCTTCAAAACGTGCACAGAGGATGTCACCTTGACTCCTGTTGACAAATCAAAGCAAACCTGGATTAGAAAATTATTTTAAAAAAATACAAACGCTATTTTACATGACAAATGTTTATTGTGACGTGGTTAAAAGATTTACTGAGAACTTAACTTTTCAAGCAAAAAGGAGAAAACACATTGCTATTTAATTATATTTGGAGACAAGACATACAATGAAGACAGACGACAGTCTCCTATTATTTCTAATAAAATTTGAAATCCTTTTAAGCGCTTTCTATGTGTTTCCCAAAGTTAGGGCCTTATCCACTCTGCATAACACACATCTAACTTAAAAGTACAAAGAATATCTTTCTTCATGACTTGTACTTGCTTTAAAACCAAATCACAATGATCAACAAAGTTATGTGGAAATACAAATTTCAATTGTCCTTTCAACTATAAACTCTCAAGTGCTTTTTCTCCTAATTATTAATGACTTCTCCCCAATTCGAGGAGTTTCACATGCTATTTACTTTTAGATATGAATATTTGCTAATAGGATAAAATATTTTGAATTTATGCACTCAGAAATTTGCATCCATAACTTTACTCAAACACTTCTGAGCCAAATATTTCATGAAGGAGGAATAAAATTTACATGTTTTGGATAAAGAACCAGCCAGTGGGGTAAAAAAACCCTGACAGACAATTCTGAGTTTTCTATCAAATAGCTAAGGGACGAGATGATGTGCAAAGATCAGCAATGACAATTTTCATCTGCTGGAACATCCAGAGGATGCAAAAGATATTGTAGAAATGCAAATTATTTACTTTGTTCTTTGTGCAAACATGGTTCTTTTTACTAATTCAGGAACAATTAACAATTACCTAAGCAAGATAAGAACTTGCTTATCAGTTAGACAATGCAGTCTTAAAAAAATGACATGCATGTAGTTTAGCAGTGGACTAATGCTCTCTCGATTGTTTAATACAATTCTCCTGTCTTTAATGAGTTCCAGTCTAGTTTCATTGCAACTAGATTACAATATTCTCAAATTGCTAGATGTACTGGAATGTCAATCACTTGTACTGCAGTATCATCAGAGAAGTGTAACTAATAACCTGAAATCAGTTTCAAACAGTTTAACCATAAGGTTGCATGTTGAATTCTATTTACCTTGTTACAGTGCAGGAAACTGAATAGCTGTCAAATTATATAGATAAAAGTTTTTTTTCTATTCATTTTTTGTGGGATGTAGGCATCGCTGGCTGACCAGCATTTCTTGCCCATCCCTAGTTGCCCTTGAGAAGGTGGTGGTGAGCTGCCTTCCTGAACCGCTGCATTCCTCCTGCTGTGGGTTGACCCACTATGCCATTAGGGAGGGAATTCCAGGTGGGTCTGTATCTTCCTCTCTTATTAATTTTGACTGTGTTTAGATGTTCTGTTGCAAACAAGTTGAAGATTCTGGGTCTGTACTTGAGGGATTTTAAAAGGATGAGGGGAATCTGATTGAAACTTACAGAATACTGAGAGGCCTGGATAGAATGGACAGGGAGAAGATGCTTCCAATAGTAGGAGAGACCCAAGGGCATAGCCTCAGAATGAAAGGACAACCCTTTAGAACTGAGATGAGGAGGATTTTTTTTTCAGCCAGAGGGTGGTGAAACTATGGAACTCACTGTCATAGAAGGCTGTGGAGGCCAAGTCATTAAGTGTATCTAAGACAGAGATAGATAGATAGGTTCTTGATTAGTAAGAGGATCAAAGGTTATGGGAAGAAGCAGGAGCATGGAGTTGAGAAACATTCAGCCATGATCGCATGGCAGAGAAAATCAATGAGCCGACTGGCCTAATTCTGTTCCAATAACTTATGGTCTTATGTTGAAACAAAAGTTTCAGTTAAGGGCTGTAACACTATTCAAGATTCCCATTTGAATTCTTAAAGGATTATAGTCCATCCCACCATTTTTTTGATACATCTATGAAAACTACCAACTTTTTTAGATTTTCGTTTTGTTGTTTCACCATGTACTGCAAAATTTTCTCAATACATTCCTGTATATGTGTTCTATATCATTTTTCTTGTGGGCTTAGCTATAGCACAATGATAAAATGTTCGACAAACATTTTCCAAAACAAATGAGTTGAATGTAACTCCAATTACTGGTGGGAGCTAAAACTGAACAATCAATAAATAAAAATTTCTTTGGGAAATTGCCTATCAAAAGTCTGCAGAAAGATCAAAGCATGTGATGTTATTACAAATGCACACATAAATGTAAGTTTAAAAAAAGAACATACTGGAAGATCCAAATAATAAAAACAAATAGATCAGCAAAACAACTGGTGAGAACACCATCTGAAGCTGAAAGAAGCAAGCCAGTATGATTGCCAATTGATGTGATAATCTGCGAAGAATAGCAACCTCAGGAAATTAATCCTCATCACTTTTATGAGATGTACAGTTGAACTTCAGCAGCATAATTCAATTATATAGTGTATAACAACCCGTCATTATCAAACAATGGACATTCTGGCTAAAGCCATGTAGTGCTATATGACTCCCACTAACAATTCATTGTACTATATCACGTACATTTGAGACTTCTATTCATATGTCCTCTTAAAAGAACGAAGCAACTTTCATTAAAGGTTTTAACCAAAATAATGAATTTATGGCATGGAGTTTGCCTTACACGTTAATCACTAATGCATTGTATATCTGTGAGATATAATCTCCACATGCTGAATGAACGCACAACAGAAAAATTGCACAATAACTTTACCTAGACTCTTGGTATTAATTTAGAATGCATAATTTATTAAAGTCTGATTAGACGAAGTGAAATCATTTTATCCATCCTGTCAATTTTCATGCAATTTAATCACTGATAATGATAAAAGATTTGGACAATACATATGATATTAGAAATACCTTGGGTTTCTTCTAAACAACTAAAGATTTTTCCCCGCTTTCTAATTATTCTGTACATGTTGCAATTAATGTTACCTTTAAAATACATAATTTATACATTTCGATTTCAACGATTTCTTGAAATTCACCATACTATAGCAAGGGCACTACACTGGCATTTAACAAGGACTTGTTACATTACTGTGTATATGGAACAGTCATTGATTTGAAGGTAGGAGAGTGTAAGTAGAGATAGAGTTACTTTGCTGGTTGGATGGATAGGGCAAGTGGTAATCCCCAGCGTTTTGAGTGGCTGGGCTTGGGGTGGAGGGTGGGGTGGTGGTGGGGTGGTGGTGGTCGACTTTTGTGTATTTAAATAACGTGGATGAAGGAATGGCTAGTTGCAGATCCAAGTTTGCAAATGACAAAAAATTCAGAAGCACAAGTGGATGAAGTTAGATGTCATAATCTACGGTAGATATAATTCAATACAGGGAAGCATGAGATCGTTCAGCTTGGATCTGAGAATGCAAACAGGAATATACTATGAATGGTGAAAGACTTTTTTGTTCTATTCATTTTATGGGATGTGGACATCGCTGGCCGACCAGCATTTCTTGCCCATCCCTAGTTGCCCTTGAGAAGGTGGTGGTGAGCTGCCTTCTTGAACCACTGCATTCCTCCTGCTGTGGGTTGACCCACAATGCTATTAGGGAGGGAATTCCAGGATTTTGATCCAGCAACAGTGAAGGAACGGCGATATATTTCCAAGTCAGGATGGTGAGTGACTTGGAGGGGAACTTGGAGATGGTGGTGTACCCATATATCTGCTTCCCTTGTCCTTCAAGATGGAAGTTGTCGTGGGTTTGGAAAGTGCTGTCTGAGGATCTTTGGTGAACTTCTGCAGTGCATCTTGTAGATAGTACACACTGCTGCTACTGAGCATCGGTGGTGGAGGGAGTAAATGCTTGTGGATATAGTGCCAATCACGCAGGTTGCTTTGTCCTGGATACACTCAAGCTTCTTGAGTGTTGTTGGGGCTGCACTCATCCAGGCAAGTGGGGAGTATTCCATCACACTCCTGACTTGTGCCTTGTAGATGGTGAACAGGCTTTGAGGAGTCAAGAGGTGAGTTACTCGCCACAGTATTCCCAGCTTCTGGCCTGCCCTTGTAGCCACTGTGTTAATGTGGTGAATCCAGTAGAGTTTCTGGTCAATGGTAACCCCCAAGATGTTGGTAGTGGGGGATTCAGTGATGGTAACACCATTGAATGTCAAGGGGTGGTGGTTAGATTGTCTCTTATTGGTGATGGCCTTGCTTTCTGCGGCGGGTGTGTGGAGAGAATGCAAGCCAGGGTGCAGACGGGAACGTAAGGCTTTTCCCTATGAAAACTTACCTCGTGCAGCAGCGGCCTTCTTGCTTTCAGCGATGGGTGTGTGGAGAGAACGCGAGTCAGGAAGGACCTAATATATTCGGGCATTGGCTAAACCCGAAACACTACACGTAGTGTCTCCCACCCATCCTCCTCCTTTGACCAAAAAAAAGACTATGTGGCGGGTTGGTAAGGTAAGGCTTTTTTTTATTCTCCTGGAAATCTCGAGTAGAGGGAATGGAAGCTAGGACAGTTGCATGCTCCTCTTGCAGGATGTGGGAGGTAAGGGTCACTGCTGGTGTCCCCTCTGACTTCACCTGCGAGAAGTGCACCCAATCCAGCTCCTCACAAACCGCGTTAGGGAGCTGGAGCTGGATGAACTCCGGATCATTCGGGAGGCTGAGGGGGTGATAGACAGGAGTTATAAGGAGGGGGTCACACCCAAGTACAGGAAAAAGGTAGCTGGGTGACTGTCAGGAGAGGGAAAGGGAACAGGCAGACAGTGCAGGGATCCCCTGTGGCCGTTCCCCTCAATAATAAGTGTACCATTTTGGATACTGTTGGGTGTTGGTGGGGTGTTGGTGGGGGGTGGGGGTGGGGGGGGGGGGGGGGGGGGGGGGGGGGGGGGGGGGGGGTGGTGGGGGAGAGACCTACCAGGGGAAGGCCATAGTGGACAGGTCTCTGGCACTGAACTTGGCCCTGTGGCACAGAAGGGAAGGGGGTAGAATAGGAGAGCAATTGTAGTGGGGGATTCAATAGTAAGAGGCA